GGTTTTTGCTGTCTTGCATCAATAGGCCCTGACCAAAAGAAAAAATACTGTTGTTGATATCATGGTAATGGCTGAGAATTGACAAGTACATGTCACTTTGCAATGGAAGGTCAATGTCCTTCATTTTTTTATGCAGTTTGACTGCTGGATATTATGCAGCTCAATAGAACTATATGTTTGTGTGGCAGTCAAGCTCAACTACACACGAAAGACCTCCTCCCCCCACAAAAAAAAAGACAATTAAAAGCACTACACATTCTGGCTTATTGAAAACAAGATTCATTTTGACTCCAGAACTTATAACTTTTTCCAGATGTTCCATCCTGAAATGCAGGTGCTCAACAAAACCAGTCTGGAAAGGACTAATCTGAATGCTGTCAAGCTATGGAAGAGAAAAACAAACCAAAAATCAAGTAAACTAGTCATGGTGTCCATTCTTATCTGGAAGGTCATTCATGATTAGGCAAAAAAACTATGTGCAGCATGAACCCTAGTTTAGTTTTACATGTAAACAAACTCATTATGCATCTATTCACATACTTAAAACACTAATATTTGTTTGTTACTTGCCATCAAGTTGCTCCAAGTGATGCTGACAGTGTTAAAGAATGCCCTCCAAAATGTTCTGTCCTTGACAGCCCTGTGGTGGGGAGGGGCAGAGGATGAGTTTATGGCTTGTATTGCATCCAAAGTCCATTTGAGCCTCCTTCCCAATCCATGATGCTTAATCTGGACTGACCAAAACAACTATCTAGAGCAAAATGTAGGATACAGAATATGGTGGTTTGAAGGTCATTGTTGTCATCCTTCACTCCATGCATTGGATGCACAAAAACCTGCCGGTTTGGAAGCTCACACACCTTGAGGGTGGAGGGCAGTGGATGTCTCCTTTTGGGAATAAGAGTTCCAAGCAACACATTGAATTGACACCAAAAGCAACTGGAAAGCAATGTTGCTCTTTTAGGACAAGAATGCACTGCAAGAAGTGGATTGAAAGCAGAAAAATTGTCAATCAGAGTCCATTGATGTTGTTGACTCTGTTCTAATTTAAGTTCTGCTTGAATATCCAAACAGACAATAAAGCAATCAGAACATTAAAATGAAATAAACAATACATTACAAATAGCAACAATAAAATGGCAACCGTAGACCCATACCAGCTATGCTCAAATAAATCCACAAGTACAGAAGCAATAAGGCTTAATAACAAAGTAATAGAAAAAAGAACCTATATACAATATAAATACAAACTTTTAAAAAAAGATTAAACTTTTGAAATGCTGAGTATATGAAAGGTTTTTACCTGGTGCTGAAAGAAATAAAGAGTGGACAGCAGGCATGACAAATTCTTATCAGCCAGCAGACATGTGGCTCTATTTTGAACCAACTGATATTTCTGGACCATCTTCAAAGGCAGCCCCATGTATTTATTTTTTTATTTTATTTATTTATGGATTTATATCCTGCCTTTTTCCTACAAAGGGCTCAAGGCAGCTTACATCTCCTCCTCCATCTTATCCCCACAACAACAACCCTGTGAGGTAGGTTGGGCTGAGAGTCTGTGACTGGCCCAAAGTCACCCAGTTGGCACCATGGCTGAGTGGGGACTAGAACCCAGATCCTCTGAGTCCCAGTTCCACGTTCTTAACCACTACGCCACACTGGCTCTCACTGCAGTGGTCCAAGCTAGAGATTACCTGAGTATGGACTACTTTTGCTTGAGTCTGCTTTTCTAGATAAGGAGACAGGAGATCAATAAGCCTGAGCTCATCTTTATTAATATAAGGTATACAAATAAAAAGTAGTGTGAGCATTACTAAAAGATAAAATAAAATGAAACAGAGAGCAGTTCCTAATATTATTCGGTTCATTTAGAAAATTCCTTTGGTAAAGAATTTGGGACTATTCGCCTCCAAAACTGAAGCAGGTAAAAAAAGGAACTCCACCTCTGGCTTTTTTCAGCAGGTTCCTTCTACATTCTTAGAAAGTTCTGCCTGTGGTCTCTTATCAATCAGTCATATCTAGAATGTAGATATATTCTTATAAATGTTTTGAACCAAAATATTAATAGACAAAAAGTACTAAAGAAAGGTCTGTTGAAGCCATATCAAAGAATAATAAGGTTGATTGGCAAGTGGCTTGAAAAATCTCTGGGGGAAGTAAACTCTCTTGGTCCAGCCTCTATGGCACTTGTATATTTTATCCTGCAAATTAGAATATGCTCACCATAGGATTGAGAAAAATACCCCTTGCAGCTTCTCACACATAATGGAACTTAAAAGCTTTCAACACATTGGGGAAGTGATAACCTTCCATAACATTGACTAAATTACTGTTTTCCATTCTGTGGCTCAATGCATTATCACAGCTCATGGATGATTCAGCATTTGCAAAGAGCTAGAATATATCATTCGACACTGATGGACAAAGAGGTATAATCAGGTGCCAAATCATTGTGCCTGTGCACAGATTTCCCAGCACACCAACCAGTAAATCAGTTAGCAATTCAAACATTCATTGTTGTATGGAGGAGCTAACAAAAGTGATAATCAGCACATATAAAAAGCTGTTGATGGGGAAGCATGAACATGGCCTTTTGGAGGAGACATTTTCCCAGTATGTTGCTCAAGGGGATGCTGCTCCTCTCACTGCTTCTTCCAGGTCATGCTGTGTTCAAGAGACATTCTATCAATTGCACTACAACAGTTGATCCCCTCCCTATTCCACACAAATTTTACCAGTTTGGTGAAGTTCTCATTGGTGAGATTGTTTCTCAGGTCATCCTCCTCCATAATATTCTTTCTTTTATGGAATAGCCTGAACAGACAAGGTTCAGTGAACCGATGTAAGGCATTATTTTGTCCCTTCTTTTCCCTACTATTTTCAGTTCATAAGGAAATGCATTAGTCTCCATTCAGTACAATTCAGAGCAATCTCTCATCAATTGCTACTTCTCAAACAATTCCTGTCTTCTTGATCTCCTAATTCATATAGTTCTACTTTAGAAACAGTTTCTTGAAAAAAAAGAGGAAAAAAAAAGGAGGGTACAGATCCTTTTCATTTCTATGAAATTTCTGGGATGATATCTCCAATTATGGATGAGTTTATGTAAGCATGCAATGCTCCTTTTTCTCCTTTAAACTTGAAATATTTTCTCAAATTTCATATCCTTCAGTAACATGCTCCTCAGTTGCATTCGTATGTCTTTGATCTTGAGTAATTAGCAGATCTTGATCTACTAATACATTTGTTAACTGGAAACATTCCATTGCATATTTTATCTTTGGTGCAAAGATTCTCAGTCATGAGTCTAACTGGAGTTTGCTTTGAATAGAAAGTATATATGGGTTATTTACATGGTTTGCATTTAAACTCTGATAAATGCACATGGTACTGTATTCAGCACTACACTGAGTAATTATTTTCTCAGGGAGAAAAATGCCCATATTGAACTATTAAGTTTCCTTTCTTTTCTTATGCTATGGCCCTTTGCAGGGCCACCCAATGTTTTTAAGCCCATCTTGGAAATAAAAACATAATGTTGATGTTGATGCTGATGATCATGATCATGATGATGCTCTCAATCAAACAGCCTGTCATTATCTTTCCAGTTCTGTGCCCAAGAACTACCAACATGTCCTGGCCTTGGCATTTGCTGTGAAGGAGATCAATGAGGATCCATGAATCTTACCCAATATCTCTCTGGGCTTCCACATCCTCAATAGCTACTTTACAGCAAGAATGACCTTCAAGGCCATCCTGAACCTCCTTTCCACACAGCATAGGTTTGTCCCTAACTTCAGGTGTCACTACCAGAATGAAGTGATCACTGTCATTGGAGGATGCCTGTCTGCAATCTCTGCCAACATAGCTATCTTTTCAGCAACTCACAAGACTCCACAGGTAAGCTGGGTGCACATGCACTTGGAGTTTTCATAGTTGTTTCACAGAATCTTCTTCCTTTCAGCCAAGCATCTGTGTAGGAGTTCTCTGGTCAGCTAGTGATCTGATTAGATGCAGGCAAAGCAACAACATAGTGAGACATATTCATCAATTGGAGAATTATAGCCTAAAACTGACTTCTCATCAAAGTGGAATGAGGTTTGCAATGGATTGGCACTGGATTCTTCATCCACCCATCATTTTCATGCCAATGTATCAGTGATATACATGGAAGTATGGAAAGGATGTGTGTCAAACTTGTGGATGATGCAAAACAAAAAAGGGTGGTTAATATTTCAAAAAATATGCTAAATTTCAAGGTGACTTCACTGGAATGGCAACTGCTCTGTAAGTAACAAACCAATACTCAACAGAGAGAAATGAAAATTCAGATATGCAAATTCTGAATTTAGACCAAAAAAAGGCCCCCCAAACCCACTGCACATTGTGGTACAGGTGACTAGAACTGCAAAGGTACCATCAGTTGTGTAGCTTTTCATTTCTTGGTTTCCAATTCTTGAAGAAAAATAATGAAGAGCTACGCTTTAAAAAAGAAAAGCTATGCAACGAAGCATCAGAAACCAAAGAAAATGAAAGGAAGGATCAGAAATCCGGTTCATAATACATAGGTTCCCAACCGATCCTGTTTAATCTTTTCATTAATGACATGGAAGAAGGGGTGAATGGTCTGCAGATCA